CCGCAAAAACGCATGTGTAAAACACACAGCAAAAAGCACTGCAGGAACGGATCAAAAGTTTTGATCAAAAGTTAGTTTGTTGCTTAATTTGTATTTGGATATTTGGCAACTGTTTTGTGATATCCAGTGTTTTTTGTAGATGTACGGCACTTTGAAAAAGTATTCATACCCCTTAACATTTTCCAAATTTTGTCATGTTACAACCAAAAACATAAATGTATTTTATTGGGATTTTATGTGATAGACCAGCACAAAGTGGCACTTAATTGAGAAGTGGAAGGAAAGTGATAAATGGTTTTCAAAATTGTTTACAAATAAATATCTGAAACATGTGGCATACATTTGTATTCAGCCCCCTGAGTCAATACTTTGTAGAAGCACCTTTTGCTGCAGTTACAGCTGCAAGTCTTTTTGCGTACAGTGGTGCTCAAAAGTTTGCATACTCTGGCAGAAATTGTGAACTTTTGGCATTGATATTGAAAATATGACTGATCATGCCAAAAAATGCTCTTTTATTGAAGGATGATGATCATATGAAGCCATTTATTATCAAATAGTTGTTTGGCTCCTTTTTAAATCATAATGATATCAGAAATCTCCCAAATGGCCATGATCAAAGGTTTACACACTCTGGAATGTTTGGCCTTGGTACAGACACACAAGGTGACACACACGGGTTAAAATACCAATTAGAGGTTAATGTCATCTGTGGCTTTTTAAATTGCAATTAGTGTCAGTGTATAAATAGTCCATTAGTTTGTTAGCACTGGAAGTTTGGAAGCACTGACTAGGCTAGATACTGAGCCATGGGGATCAGAAAAGAACTGTCAAAAGTCCCGCGTAACAAGGTAATGGAACTTTATAAAGATAGAAAAGGACATAAAAAGATGACCAAAGCCTTGAATAGAAAATTCAGGGACCTTTTGACACCAAGCCAAGTACAGGTAGACCAAGAAAGATTGCAGCCACAACTGCCAGAAGAATTGTTCGGGATACAAAGGGAAACCCATAGATAACCACAAGCAAAATACAGGTTGCTCTGGAAAAAGACAGTGTGGTTGTTTTGAAGGAGCACAATATGATGACACTTGCACAAAAATGAGCTGCATGGTCGAGGTGCCAGAAAGAAGCCTTTACTGCATCAATGACACAAAAAGGCCTGGTTAGGCATGCCAAGGTGTTGTCAAGCATGTTGTAACCGGGCTTTTTTGTGACATTGGTCGAGATGCCAGAAAGAAGCTTTTACTGCACCAAACAGCTGATTTTTGTTCAAGTATCACTGTATTGTACTCCTTAAAAACAACCACACCATCTTTTTCCAGAGCAGCCTGTATTTCTTTTGCGGTTGCTTGTGGGTTTTTCTTTGAATCCCGGACAATTCTTCTGTTAGTTATGGCTGCAATCTTTCTTGGTCTACCAGACCTTGGCTTGGTATCAAGAGTCCCCGAACTTTCCACTTCTTAATAGGTGATTTAAAGTACTGATTGGCATGTTCAAGGCTTTGGACATCTTTTTATGTCCTTTTCCATTTTTATAAAGTTCCATTACCTTGTTATGCAGGACTTTTGACAGTTTTTTTTTCTGATCCCCATGGCTCAGTATCTAGCCTAGTCAGTGCTTCCACGTAAGAGCTAACACTCATTGACTATATATACACTGACACTAATTGCAATTTAAAAAGCCACAGATGTGGGACATTAACCTCTAATTGACATTTTAACCCGTGTGTGTCACCTTGTGTGTCTGTAGCAAGGCCAAACATTCCAAGGTATGTAAACTTTTGATCGTGGCCATTTGGGTGATTTTTGTTATGATTTAAAAAGGAGCCAAACAACTTTTTAGCATGATCAGTCATATTTTCAATATCAATGCCAATATTTCACAATTTCTGCCAGGGTATGCAAACTTTTGAGCACAAATGTATGTCTCTACCAGCTTTGCACATCTAGAGAGTGAAATGTTTGCCCATTCTTCTTTGCAAAATATGTATGGTTAGGGTTGTTGTCTGCTGGAAGGTCTGAAGTTTTTTGCAGACTCTTTAACAGGTTTTCTTCTAAGATTGCTCTGTATTTAGCTTCTCCATCTTCCCATCAACTCTGACCAGCTTTCCTGTCCCTGCTGAAGAAAAGCATCCGCACAACATGATGCTGCCATCACCATGTGTCACAGTGTGGATGGTGTATTCAGGGTGATGTGCAGTGTTAGTTTTCCACCACACGCGTTTTACTTTTAGGCCAAAAAGTTTGGTCTTATGTAACCAGAGCACCTTCTTCCACATGTTTGCTGTGTCCCCCACATGGCTTCTCGCAAACTGCAAACAGGACTACTTATGGCTTCCTTTCCACAATTGCTTTCTTCTTGCTCTTCTATAAAGTCAAGATTTGTGGAGGGTACAACTAATCGTAGTCCTGTGGACAGATTCTCCCACCTGAGCTGTGAATCTCTGCAGCTCCTCCAGAGTTACCATGGGCCTCTTGGCTGCTTCTCTGATTTAATGCTCTCCTTGCCCAGCCCCTCAGTTTAGGTGGATGGCCATGTCTTGGTAGGTTTGCAGTTCTGCCATACTTTTCCATTTTCGGATTCAACAGTGCTTTGTGAGATGTTCAAAGCTTGGGATATTTTTTTTATAACCTAACCCTGCTTTAAACTTCTCCATGACTCTATTTAGTAATTAGGTGACTTCTGAAGGCAATTGGTTTCACTAGATTTTAGTTAGGGGTATCAGAGTAAAGGGTCTGAATACAACTGCATGCCACACTTTTCAGATATTTATTTGTAAAGCATTTTGAAAACCATTTATCATTTTCCTTCCACTTCACAATTATGTGCCACTTTGTGTTGGTCTATCACATAAAATCCCAATAAAATATATTTATATTTTTGGTTGTAGCATGACAAAATGTGGAACATTTCAAGGGGTATGAATACTTTCTCAAGGCACTGTAAATGGGTGTATATTCCTTTAAGGGACAATTTCCTGTTCATAATTGTGACAGCCTATTGCGTGTATATAACGAATCCTTTTACCAGCTCCCCCCATATCTTCGATTGCATATGCATTACAGTGGTTGGTCCCGAGGGGAAATTGTTGCTTTGGTTTTGTGCAATAAACTAAGCAGTTGCTGATGTCATTGGTGTGCGGCTATTTCTCTCCTTTGTTAGCAGTTCTTTTGCTGTGTTCTTGTCCACCCATCATTTTATTGCTTGGAGACTTTTCACAGTCTATGACCATGTGTCCTGTATTGTATGTATATTCTAAGGGGCCATTTTGACTTGCCTGTAAATGCTTTATCTTGGAGTAAGGTATGACACAGGATCCGCTCTGTTTTCTGTGGTCACTTCTGAATGCTTGCTATAAACTGGAATCGCAAAGTGGGTGTTGATATGAGTGCGCACTAGGGGCGGCCCCAGCAAATTCTTTGCCAGTGTCCTGCCATCCCTGTGTCCTGTACTGTACTTAAAGATAAGGAACTTGCAGATACATCAAACTCCACCCCTTTATTTTCTCCACAGCTTTAGTGACATTACTTATCTGTAATGAAGCATATCCCACATCATGCAGGCAGCTGAATCCTTTAGAAATCTTCTCTGCGAAGTGCCCAGTCCTTTTCCTATCATTGAGCTTCTCTCACTGGAAAGAGGAGGGGATGGGTGGACATCAGATCATCATAGCAGTTATGCCTGACGTCCCGACTCTATTAACTCTCTACTGTGCCAGACAGTTAGAAGCAGGAAAAGGACCAGGCACCCTGCACAGAATATTTTTAAGATTTTTTTCAGGATTCAGCTGCCTGTATGACATAGGAGATACTTAATTACAGGTAAGTAATGCCACCACAGCTGTAGGGATTTTTTTTTCTTTAAAATGAAACCTTGCCTTTACAGTAGAATTCCTGTATAACACGAACTATGTTTAAAAATGTCCCTTGCTACCTATGCTGTTTGACATGTGTAAAAAAAAAAAATAAAATAAAATAAAGTGTAATCTCATAACTTCATCTTCCCTGTGTCAGTCAGCAGCTGCTGCAGGGGATAGGAGGGAGCATTGACAATGGCTTGGACAGGGCAACGTAACGTATGGGTGACGTCACTGCTCCCCGAATTCCCAACTGTTGTCAAGGGCTCTCCTTTCCCCTGCAGCCGCCACTCACTGGCACAGGAGCTCATGTGACCAGATCACAGCAAGCTGAAAATGTGTGTGTGTGTGTGTGTGTGTGTATGTGTGTGTGTATATGTGTGTATATATATATATATATATATATATATATATATATATATATATACTGTATATGTGTGTGTGTATATATACAGTCAGGTCCATAAATAATGGGACATCGACACATATATATATATATATATAATATATATATTAGGGATGAGAAACTTTTAAACATCGTTTTTAAGCAGGAATTCTTCTTTAAATATACAGACTTGCTCAGTAATTGCCACATTTAATAAAACATCCTGAACTAGGTATTTAAGCAGACAGCATTCTTTAACATTTATAAATGAGCTAAAATAAAGATGTAATTGTATTGAAAGAATGATACCCAAATCAAGACGCTGATGCTAATAATTCCTCCATGTCAGGACTGAATAGGTTATGAATGCATACTAAATCTTGTATTAGTTAATTAAATGGAGCAAAAAGTCTAAGGCCGGCCATACATTTATACAATTTTCTTGAGATTTTTGCTTTAGATAAACAACTCTTTCAATTGTATCCAGTTAGGCAGGCTCTTGCATTACATAGTTGAAGGTAAATCTAAAATAAATTGGACAGAAAATTGTATAGTGTATGGCCATCCTTAGTTGTCTTCTCATTTACTGATGTGCAAAATTACAACCGTGTGATGATCTTTTTCTTTTACTTTTGATGTTTTTCATGTTGCTGCTCAGGTGCTTTAAATGCAGATTTATAAAATACATTTTCTCAAATAGGTAAAGTAAAACCTAAAATTTTCAGTTTAAGCAATCCTATTTTTTTATTCATTTGGCAGGCTTATGAAGGAGTGTTGCAGCTTGTTGAGGCTCGGGAACAATATGAGGAACTTTGTATCATTATGTGCGTCATTCCTGCAACTATCAGCAACAATGTTCCTGGCACTGACTTTAGCATTGGCTCAGATACAGCTGTCAATGCTGCCATGGAGGTGATATATTTTCTAGATTTCTTTGCCTTTATAATGTTTCATAAAAATCTCAAGTCTACAGCAGGGTTTTTATGGAATCCAAGGGTTCCTAAAGAGGTTGCTAGGGGTTCTTTGAGCAATGAGCAATTTCTGCCTCTCAGATAAGTTCCCACTGACACTACTGATCTTTTTGGCTATCTATAAGGGGGTGATTCTTCCCAGTGACCACAAGTGTAAGGAGCTTTCTTCCTACTAACCATGACACTAATGTATAATGAGTTTGTAGATATAATAATTTTTAGCAAGGATTCCCTAAGACCAGAAAGTTATTTCAAGGGTTCCTCTGTGTTAAGAAGGTTCAGTCCTTACTAACAGACTAGATCTAAATCTGGATTAGATGGGTGCACACTAGGGTATTTTTTTTTTTATTTTAGTAATATGTGATACAAGCTTTCTTTTTTAAATTTTTAGATCACTTTAGTTTAGGCTATGTTGTGTTTCATAAAAATTGTAAATACTGTACGTGCTCGTACAGTTTTTGCCTCTTTTGGTAGGTGTTGGAGCCAGCTTAGGTAAATATTCTGCTATATGAAGGACCTATTTAACTGAGTCACAACCACAGTCTTAAAATGGTGCTGGAATAGTGAACATTTATCTTATGACTACCTGTGTGTGTCTCCCTGCAGCAGCTGAAAGCCAGCACCTCCCCAACCCCACATGCCCCCCCTCCCCGTCGCACTGATCCCTCTCCCTATCCTGCCAACATCTGATTCCCCCTGCTGCCCGGGTCCCCTACAGGAAGACCGGTGGTGCCCGTTTTATTGACGGGCCCTATCTGATGTATGCATGAGAGCATATGTGTAATTCATTTATTATAAGTATTTACAAAATTATTAGTGAATGAATCGTTCCTTAACTGGGTTTCTGGTCCACAAAGAGTTTAAAGCTAATATCTGAGTGTATTGAAAAGCAAAACCCTATATATTTCCCTTGTGGCTTTGCTAGTTTATTTGAATTTGTTTATGAAAGTAATGTAAAATATTTCAATGACATACTTCTTTTAAAAAATTTGAATAGAGCTGTGACCGCATTAAACAATCTGCTTCTGGAACGAAGAGGCGTGTCTTCATTGTAGAAACTATGGGTGGATACTGTGGCTACCTTGCTACAGTGACAGGAATAGCTGTCGGTGCTGATGCTGCATATGTTTATGAGGACCGATTTAACATCCATGATCTTAAGGTGAGATGTACGGTTTGGTATTGGACAACTACCGTTTGGCTATTATTTTCTTTTAGCTAATTTTTCTTCTGAGCAGTTGCTCTGCTTTTGCTCCAGTTGTTTTACTACATTCCCACTCTCTGCATACAGAGACTTATTTCTAAGTCTAACACCCTGATTGTTGTGTCTGAGAGATCTGTTATTTACACAACCTATACTGTCCTCTCTGGCACTCATATTTTGGCTTTTTTCCACAACCTCATATTTTGTCAAATAGACTAATATTTATATTCTAAAGTAATAAGGCATAGTGTAACCGTTAAAATTCTGCAATATTGAGAATGTACTTTACAGAGTGAACACAAGAAGCTGCAATACTGACAAACGGTTTAGCTATTGCAGTGCATGCTTGGGTAACTCTGTATTAGCAGTGAGATTTATATTGGCAAAGGTTTTCATTTTTTATGCCCAGTCTCTGATTTGCATAATAAGCTTGTTTGTTCCTAATATGAGATCTCCATCATTTGTAGTCTAATGTGGACCACTTGACTGACAAAATGAAGACTGATATTCAAAGAGGTCTTGTGCTGAGGTATTTATTTATACTATGCTTTTTTTTTTTTTTTTTTTTTTTTGTAACTTCATTTTCATTTAGTAGCATAGCCATTGTGAAACCACTTTACCCTACAAGTATGTATGTGGCTTGAGGAAGAAAACAGAGCCACCCAAAAGATGTAGAGAGTACACAAACTTCATAACAACAGTGCACTGGTTGCACTGAGATGGGACCCTGGTGCTCCAAGGCACCTGTTTTAACCAATAAGCCACCGTGCAGCCAAGTTCAGTATTGGTTTTTCAGCTTTTCAAGTCTAACTATTGAAATCTGGTAAACTGGTTTATTTAGGGTACCACGTATCACTGTATCCAAACTCTTCTTTTTATATAATATTTTTTATTGGAGGATTCCACAGGTGGAGCATAATTTATTGCTGAATGCCTACTTAATTAAAATTTTGCTTCAACTATTTCTTCCAAATACTAAAGTTCAACTTCTTTATAGTAAATGGACACTTGTTTGAACAATTTTATTCCTTTCACTAATGGTGCCTACATACGTTAAAGTGGTATTAAACCCTGATTTTTAACTGTGTTCAGAAGCTCATTTAATCACTTTATTGAATATGCAGCTTGTTTAAAGGATGGCTCCTTTCTCTTGCAGCAGTCAATGGAGTCACCCTTGTATGCAGGGAGCAGAGTTGTATCTCACTGTGTGCTTCAATAAAAACAAATCACACAGCTCCATTGCCTAGAGTAGCAAAGCAGTCCCCTGCTCTTCCTTCCTCCTCCCCATCCCTTCTCCAAGCTAACAGATTGTTTGGAGGTTGCACTGTCCAATGTTGGCTCTTTCCTGTGAAGACTGAAGTTGAGGGAAGCAGAACTAAGAGATCAGGAGCTAGCAGCATTGATAGTTGTAAACTGCAAGTGCTAGGGTAAGATTTTTAGCAAATAGTTTAGTTTACTGGGGAATGTTTATTTTATTGTGCTCAATTTGGTATATTAAAAAACACTGAGGGTTTATTACTACTGTAATAACTTTATTAAACCTATGTTGACTTGGTTACAATAATATTGATGCCTGCATCGTTCTATCCTCGTATGAATTTTTTCATCTTTCTAAACCCACACTGAAAACATTTATAAAAACCAAAGTTTTTTTAAAACAATTTGTTTGTATGACTGTTTTCCCCTAGTTTTTTGTTTAGCGAAATCTGTGTCTGGTTGGAAAATGCATCTGTGGCCAGTCTCAGATAAGGTTACACATTTAAGCAGACCTTAGGAGTATCAGACTTCATGAATGGACCTAGCGTAGTGGTCGAGTGATGCTAAACGCCCTCATTTTTCACATTTGTCTCGACACCCCCTGTTTTTTATAAACTGTGCTTGCGTGTTCATCCAATAAAGGGTATTACATTTCTAGAAAGAATGTCCATATTTAACTCCGGACAGCTGCTTGTTTAGCAGACATTTGCAAGTGTCCACATTTATTGGGCAGTTCAAGAGTAGGGGTGATAGCAAAGTGGTCACTTGAGAATTTGTTGACATTCCTAGCAAATGTGCCATATGTTTGCATTATTATGATGAGGTTTTGAGATGAAACGTCTAGCTATCCAAACAGTTTGACTGATAGTAATACATTTTAGTGTATTATATAAATGTGTTTTCAATTATTTGCAGCTGCAAGTTAAAGCAGTGTGTGTATGTTTTAGATTGTATTACATTTTAGTTTGCTTTCTACTTCCCAGATATTTTGCTAAATCATTTGGATTGGTTCTGCATCTTGTATTTTGTTTTTATGTGAGTAAAAGTAGACTTGGTGCGTAAAGGACTTATGATTGTGTGAGATTTATCTGAAAGTAGAACTATAGGCAAAAACATTTTTTTCATTTTCGATACAGCAAGGGAAGGTTATAACCCGTCAAATTTTTTTCTTTTTCACAATCTGTGTCCCATATCAGAAATTTCCCTTCTTTCTTGTCCCATAGCCAAACAGGAAGTAAGACGAAATCCCTGCAAATTAAGAAAATATCTTGGTGATCCCCATGTCACCAGAGCAAATGTCCCTATTGCAAGATTTCCCCTCTATTACTTTTCTGGGGACAACTCAAAATTTAGAGTTTTCTTTTACTTTCGCTTTCATTGATGATGGTAAACAGGACAAAAAAGGGCGAAGATTACACAGACCGCAATAAAAACTGACAACCATTCTAATCATTCTGCATTCCATCCAAAACTAAAAAAAAGTATTGCCTTTAGGTATACTTTAAACACGGGTATCTACAAATAAGTTGATAACAAACAGAACAAAGGGACAAAAAAAATCACACCCCTTCAAACCCCTTTCACTTTGGGTCATATTTTCTTCCACTTTTTCTAAATACGTTGTGTAAGATAAATAGCCCTTTCTTTTTGTTCTGTTTTTGAGACTTCTATGAGCTAAAACTTTTTTTTTTTTTTTTTTTAATCATCTCAAGCTAAGATATAAATAACATAGAAAGGATAGATGTGTATTACAAAAGTACAACATTGTTTCTTTTTTAGGAATGAAAAATGTCATGACTACTACACCACAGAATTTCTGTATAATCTTTATTCTGCTGAAGGAAAGGGTATTTTTGACTGTCGAACAATGTGCTTGGACACCTACAGCAAGTATGTTTTTAAGACAAAACGTTTCCACTTCTGTATGGATGCATACTACAGTACTTCTGATGTTATTTATACTAAAAACTTAGCAAATGCATGTTTTGTATACATTTTTATGCAGAGACACTGTTTAATTGGATTGAATAGGAAAGTGCAAGTCACAGTAAAAATACTATATTTACTGATGCTTTAAAATGCTATAGCTGTTAGCATTGTGTTAGCATTGACAACTGTGAAATGTTTTCACTGGTGTGTCATGTTACCTGATAAGGCTGTTCACATCTATGTGCTGCATTTTGAAAAAAATGAGGCAAGTCTGTTTTCTGTGCATTTTTATGCACTGTTGTGGCCATAGAAATCTATGCCACTGCCAGGCTCTGGAAGTCGATCTTTCCAAAATCCATTACTCATTAGCCAAGCCAAAAATGCATGAAGAAAAAAAAAAAAAAAGTGTGTATGTATATATGTGTACGCACACGCACACGCACACACACTGTTTTAGCAAGCTACAATGGACATTAAAAATACATCAACAAATGGATACAATTAGATGTGAGCATGGCCTGAAGCATTCAGCTCTGCTATATGAATATTTGATTGATGCACTTATATTATTGTTCTTTAAAGCAGTAATCTCCATGATTTCAGTGTGAAACCTAATAACCGTAATCTTCACCTTGGCTAACAAAATGCCTTTTTCCTAATCGTTAATTAAGGTACACAGGATGAAGTATTTAGGTACGTTTATTTGTGTTGCTGCCCTCAGGAGATCACACTAGAGGACACTAGCAAAGAAATCTTTAAGGATAGTGCAGTATAACCCTCACACGCCTAGCATTCCATGTTTTTTTACGTCTGTTCTCAGATCATAAAACTTTTTTAACTTCAGCAAGATTCTTCAGTTGTTGCAGAGCCACTCGGACTCATTTTGCAGCTAATCATCTGCAAAGCCTTGGTGGATGTTGCCAGACCCCACTGTTAGGAACAGGTGGGGGCCAACCTGTAATATGTCCACTGGACTCTGCTTTAAGCAGACATCCTTGGTATAATGTGGGAGTTAGCTGCAGAGTTCTTTGAAGGACAAAGGCCACGGTTCACACATCTGGAGGAGCTCTGTCCCTGAAGACTTCTTAGAGAGAACAAAAGTCTAGCTGGATGGGGCATGTCCCCTGGATCCTGCCAAACCCATCTCACAGTGTCCTACTTGAAGAGGCTGCAGGTCTTAATACCAGTGCTGGCTAAGTCACATCATTTGCCCTTTAATGTGGGAGCCTGGTGTGTACTTTTAAGTCTTCCATAATGTTTTGTCCAGCAATATACCTATGAATGAAGGAGAGGTTCCTGAAAAAGTGGGCTGTTCATGAAGTGGGGCTGGACATTTCTTGTCTTAATTGAACTCCTAACTGTCCCTGTTGAGGACATCGTATGTTTTTAAGGCCCAGTGGATAATGGACTAACACCCTTTTATAATGCCTTATTGTTAATCGCATGCCCCGCATTGCAACCTGCTATGGCTAATAGTTTCCTTTCACCCCAGAAAAAGAGATAAAAAAAATCTTCTGAGAAACTTTACTCATAAGGCTAAGAAGAACTTTAATTTCTTTCAGGCTTTCAAGGCAAAGCCTGGAATCCAGAAGCCCTTTGCACAATGAGGAGACGCCCCCATTTGTCAGTAGGGGGCATCTGTCGGCCTTTGCAGTAGTGATACAGCTATATAGAGGACGCCAAAAACATGGTTAGCGGGGGACCTTCTCCTTGCACTAGCTGTAAAACTTTTAAAAAGTATTCTGTGCATGAGAGAGTTCTCAATTAACTACCACAGCGCTGTGATTGCTGTGGTAGTTCATTGATTCTTCCTATGAGAATATATCGGCTTGCTTGTACAAGATGTATGGGCAAGCAGATATACTGACAGGTCTGCAGGAGTCCTGCATGGCACCAGCTGGTGCAATGCGTTCCAGGCTCCTGGAACCAAAAAATAAATGTGCATTTTTGTTTACCTGCAAACAAAAATTTACATTTATTATTTTTTGTCAAAAGGTGAACTTATCCTTTTGTGCAGTGTGTGTGTGTGTGTGTGTGTGTGTGTGTGTGTGTGTGTGTGTGTGTGTGTGTGTGTGTGTGTGTGCATATGTATGTATGTACATTATGTAGCAAATGAGATTTAATGTTGATAAATGTAAGGTTATGCACTTGGGGGCTAAGAATATGCATGCATCATACATACTAGGGAGAGTACAACTGGGGGAATCAATGGTGGAGAAGGATCTGGGGGTTCTGGTAGATCACAATCTTAATAATGGCATGCAATGCCAAGCTGCAGTTTCTAAAGCGAGCAAAATCCTCTCTTGTATTAAAAGAGGTATAGACTCCAGAGAGAGAGAGATATCATATTACCCTTGTACAAATCATTAGTAAGACCTCATCTGGAATATGCAGTTCAGTTTTGGGTACCAATTCACAAAAAGACCTTCACAAAAGCGATCAAAATTTGAAAATAAAATACTGTAATAGTTAAACTAAATAACTGCATACATATGCCCTATGAAGACCCTCACCCCTCTGAAGGGCAATCAAAATTTAAAAAAAATTTATTGAATAAACTGCGTGAGTACAGTAATTCTAATTGCGTGTAAGAAACCATAATATGTTGTCAAATTAACCTAAAATTTCATGCATTATCTATGAGCCCTATGAAGACCCTCACACTCTGAAGAGTGATTGAGGATGGGTCAAATCTCAATGTGCAAAAAATTCACCTCAAATATACATAAAGTTAGTAAAAAAAAAAAACAAAACCTAAACCATAGTCCATGAGTATGAGAAGAAAATTCCACAATTGATAGTATTATTGTAGACAATGCTGTAAATGCAAACAAACTTGCTTCAACTGGTCACCAGAGTGCACACCATTACCGAAGTAACAGATGGAGGCTTACCAGAAATGGAGACCCCTTAATTACAGGGGGTCCCAACCAGCTTTATAATGTAGAGCACTGGCAGGCTTCCCGTATCACGCCCCAAAGCATGTAACTTCCCAGACTCCAACTCGAAACTAAACTCAAAGTGTAGTGCCAGACAAGGTCATGAAAGAAAAAACATGCATTTCATAGTACAATACGTATCAAAAACTTCTTGCGCAAATAGGATCCTACTTACAAGCTATAGAACAATTAAAAGCATTCACAGAGGACGTCTTTTGATGATGAAACATGTCGGGCAGAGCCTCCCTCTGACGTTACCGTGCTGTCGGCCATCTTGGATATGGTTCATGTAAATGCTTTTAATTGTTCTACAGCAAAATGTGTTTCTTATTTAACCACTCGCCCTCTAAACGATTTACCCCCCTTCCTGACCAGGCCATTTTTGCGATATGGCACTGCGTTATTTTAACTGACGATTGCGCGGTCATGCAACACTGTACAGAAATTAAATTCCTGTCATTTTTTTCCAAACAAATAGAACTTTCTTTTGGTGGTAATTGGTCACCTCTGCGTTTTTTTTATGTTCTGCACTATAAACAAAAAAAGGCCGAAATATAAAATGTCATCATAATTTTTTAGGCCAAAATGCATTCTGCTACATGTCTTTGCTAAACAAACAAAAAAATCCCAATAAGTGTATTTTAATTGGTTTACGTGAAAGTTATAGCGTTTACAAATGGTATGTATACTGGAATCTTTATTTTTTATTTATACTACAGGGGTGTGGAAATTTTTGAAAAAAACTGCTTATCCAGGAACAAATCTACTTGTCCCTCATGACAATCTATGTGTCCAGATCAAAAACATTTTTTTAACCAAACCGTATTTAAATCTGAGGTGCTTTTAGTATTGTCTGGGGCTTTTAAAATCAAAAGTGGCTTTATGGCGACTTACACGTTTAATATTTTTACCATTGCACTGTTTATCCCCTCCTCCCTTCCCTGCCTCTCTCCAGCACCGCACCTGGGACTAGCAGGGGGAGGGAGACCTTGCTGTTTAATGAGCACCGACTGGGGTGCTCGTCCTGAAAGGGGAATGTCGGGCTTACCCTTTATCCCTTTTGCTGGCAGAGCCATTTTTGCATTTTTTGCTTAAGTTTAAAAAATCATTTTAGGCCTGAAGATTACACAACCCCTGAACATTATATATTTTCCAAAAGCAGAGACCCTAAAGCATAAAATAGTGGTAGTTCCAATTTTTTTAGGTCGCATGATATTACTGACATTACCACAAAATTTCAGTAAAAAAATACACAAGTTCATTTTAGGGCACAAAAAAGCAATAAATTACCCTATGTTTTGCAAAATCTAAAAGATGAGGTTGCACCGAGTAAACAGATATCCAAAATGTCAAACCTTAAATTTGCATGCGCTCGTGAAATGGCGACGAACTTCAGTACCCTAAATTTTCTATAGGTGACCCTGTTAAAGTGCCTTATAGGTCATCAGTATAGTTTTATGGAGGATGTCTCATTGTAGAATTATTGCTCTTATTCTGGCGTGCGTGGTGATATGTAACATGTGTATCGCAATCAACGTTTTCATGCATAGGCGCCACAGTGTGTGATTTTACATTTGTACGTTCGTATAGAGGACAAAAAGTTCTCTGATGATTTTTGGTGACAGGTTCTTTTTATTGAGAAATCCAGAGGCTAAAAGACCCTGGATATCTCCCCTGTGTTCCACTGAATGTAATGCAAAAAGATCACACCGCATTACATTCTTTTGCAGCATTGATGGCTGGGAATCTGTTAATGGGGACCCGGAAGTGACATCATAACGTCACTTTCGGGTCAGGACAAAAAGGGGAGCTGACGCGTCCACTCTCCTCCCTCACCTTTACCCGACAGCGCAAGGTGATCTGGTCCCGGGCCCGCAGATGGGCAAGTGGAGCCTGGGAGACATAGTGGGTGGGGGGAGGTTCCCGCGAGTGGGGTTGGTGGAAGCTTGCATTGTAGGCTGTGTGAAAGCAATCGGGTAGCAGTGCAGCCACCCGAATGCTTTCAACTGACAGGTGAGCCCT